CTTTTTTTCAGCCGTTTTTTTCGGCCTTATTTCAGCTGCAGAGACTAAGTCCCATTCGGCGATGGGACTTAGTCGTTTTTTCAACCTGAAATAGACCGACCTCACAGCCCAAATCTATGGAACTGTTTTGGGCAGGAAAATGTGCTTGCGGTCGGTCATAAAGGGACCTCCAGCTAACTTTTTAACCCCTGGATGGATTTGGCTGATTTTTGGTTATGTTTATGTTTAAGTGTGCTGATTCCAAATATGTAATTATGAAGATGGGATGTGTAGTTTTAAAGTTACAGGGTATGGCTAAAACTGTATTTTTACTGCCTGTGTTTAATTATGTTAATCTCTTCCCAAACGTCATTTCGTTCAAAGTGGAGAGAATGTTAAAAAAATATATTTTTGTTCGGAGTGTGAGAAATGCTTTTCAGCCGCTTCTAATCTTAAGCATCATTTGAGGAGCCATACAGGAAAAAAAACCTTATTTGTGGTGTGTTTAGTATTGTTCTGATCAGTTTAATACCTTCCGCGTCTCCTATCAGTGGACGTGTACGGCGTGATTTTTGTAACAGGGAGATGGAAGAAGAGGAAGCTTGAGGTAGGTCTCTTGCTGCAAATTTGGGGCACTGGCTGTCAAGCTAATGTGACACCAGATAGGAGTGGTGTGTTTAGTATTGTTCTGATCAGTTTAATACCTTCAGCGTCTCTATCAGTGGGCGTGTACCGGCATTGATTTTTTAATAACAGGAGATGGAAGAAGAGGCTTGGTGGTCCTCTTACTGCAAATTTGGGGCACTCTTGGCTGTCAAGCTAATGTGACACCAGATAAGGTAAAAATTGTATTTTGGTATTGTTCTGATCAGTTTAATACCTTCAGCGTCTCCTATCCCAGTGGGCTGATGTACGGCATTGATTTTTGTAACAGGGAGATGGAAGAAGAGCCTTGGTCGGTCCTCTTACTGCAAATTTGGGGCACTGCGCGGTCAAGCTAATGTGCCACCAGATAGGAATGGTGTGTTTAGTATTGTTCTGATCAGTTTAATACCTTCCGCGTCTCCTATCAGTGGTCGTGTACACGGCATTGATTTTTGTAACAGGGAGATGGAAGAAGAGGCTTGGTCGGTCCTCTTACTGCAAAATTTGCCAGGGCACCTCGCGCTGTCAAGCTAATGTGACACCAGATAGGAATTAGGTGTTTATTACTATTTTATCAGTTTAGCCTTCATCTCTATCGTGGTCTGATACACACTGACACAAGAGCAGAATAGGAATGTTACCCCAACATCGGGTCACTTGGCAGATATGGATTGACACCTGTCCTCAGAGCCCCTGATACACACTGACACAGATAAGAATAGGGAATGTTACCCCAACATAGGGTCACTTGGCAGATATGGATTGACACCTGTCCTAAGGATCCCTGATACACACTGATACACACCTACTTGAATGGTATAGACATTTTTAGCAGCTCCTGGCGAACACCTGACCCACATAGGAGCCGTAATAGACCGGATTAGGGAGTCCGGACTGACCCTAAAGCCCAGTAAGTGCCATATAGGAACGTGTAAAAACCTCCACAAGATAGTAGTATACCCCAGAATGTGAACAGGCCTTCCAACAGCTCAAGACGGCGCTCATTAAATCACCTGTACTTTCTTCTTCTGATCCAACTAAACACTTTCTCGTCCAT